TATTTTAGTTTTTTGGTTCTAATGTGGAGTCGAAATATGTAATTGGTCACTCAATATCACCCATTAGAGCTAATAGCATAACATAGTTAATGGTAATTTCGGTCTTTGACTGGCTTAATAAAGTGAATATTAAGAACTAAGAACCTACATCAAAAAAATATAAAAAGAAAAAATGGCTTAAATATATGAAAACTCATGAAACTATTAAGCTAATCTTTTGGTTCCAATGTGGTATCAAAACATGTAATAAACCACTCAATCCCAAGTGGTCACCTATACATTATAAAGGACAATCTTCTCCTAATAGAAGTATGGAGTTCAAGTCCCACTCTAATGTTTAAGAAAAAAAGATTGATTTAATTTATCAATTACAAAATAATTTTTTTATCAATAAAAGAAAATTTATAGATTCATTTGAATCACGAGACATATGGTGGGATGAGACAAAAAATTTGTCATATCCTTATGTGTCCCACATTTGGTGGACTAATTGGACGACATATTGGTCATCCCATCTTGTATTCCATCCTTTCCCCATTAAAGAAAATTTATCCCACCTTTCCCTTGGGATTCGTTGGGAATAAATTTCTTTTTCTGTTTTTGCCCCTCTCCACTACTCGACCTTTTTTCTCTTACTTCCCAAATTTTCGTGCTGGCTTTTTCTCAGACTTTCATGCCAACTCTGTTGAACCCATCTCCTCCGTTAAAGATCAAAACCATCTCCTCCCTCAACCTTTTTCTTCTTCCTTTCCCCTTCCTCAATTTCTATTTGGTGTAAAGATTCAAGCCACAATAATAAGAAACCGACTATAATTTTATTAGCATGGTTGCCGACGAGTGTTAAATGGTTTTCCAACATTTGTGCTTTCATCGATTATTGACGCTTTTGCAAATATAAGGCTAAAAAATCAAGTTCCTTTTGAAAGATTTGAGTTTTCTAAATTTAATTGAGATGTGATTTTTGCAATGAAATTCGTAAGATTATTAAAAATTTGTTGAAATTTGTTTATTATAACAAATTGGTTGCCATTAATTTAGATATATTTATGATTAAAATTTTGTTTTTTTAATTTCATTGATTTTGTTGATTGGTTTCTTAGAAAACATAGAGAGAGAGAAAATTAATATTGGTGTTGTTTTCTTACTAGGCAAAAAGTGGTTCTGTTGAGAAAACATATGAACTATTTTATGCTGGTGATCTAGTTGTTTGGTAGATGGGAAAACAAGGAATATTATGACTAGGTTGTGGTTGTTTTCTTATTATTGGGCCGATATGGTTTAATTTGTTGAGAATTAAATGAAATATTTTTTGCTGGTGGTCTAGTTGTTCAATTAATGAGAAAACAAAGGAAAATTCTCTTTCAACTATTGTGAATGAATTATTGTAAAACAAATAAAAAAAGTTACTGCTATTAAAATTAAAATTATAATAAAAGAAAATTTTTTTATACAAATAATAATTATTTATATCTAATCTCACTCTTTCTCAAAAATCAAACAAACATGAGATTAGACTCAATTTATGACATCTAATCTAATTCAATCCAATCCAACGCTATAAACTTTATCTAATCCAATCATGTACTACAAACGTACTCCTCCATTCATAAAACATAATATGCTAGCATTTCCGGTACTCTCACCAATCCTCACACACCTGAAACTACAATTCCACTACTCAAAAAGATAAATGACAAAATGTAACATTACCTTACATACTAAGCTAAGGAGTATGACACATCTATTATTTCCTATAGTCCTTTTTTTCCTACATTTTAAACTATGTTGCAGCAAAGATTCACTTCCAATATTAGTTAAATATTGAAAGCAGTCCTAGGCCACGGACACCATTCTGCAATAAATAAATCTGACCAACACTTTGATTTAAGCCAGTAATATGATCTAAACTTAACTAGTTTAAATACCTTTCCTTGATCATCAGCCTCTCCTTTGAAAATTTTTCGATTGATGGGTGAGGGTTGAAGCACCATCTTTAACGTCTTAGTTTTATATGGTGATCGCTGCTGAATCAGATTCCCAATTCAAAAACTAGAAAAGAAATGCAGGTTTATATCTCTCATCAGATATAAATAACAGTGTTCCAGCTATCCCTTCCAGCATTGCCTCTCACATTCTGTTTCCTTCTAAACAGTGCATGAAAAAATGTCTCAAGTGTCTCTTCATGGAAAGTTGAAGTATGATGTAGAGTACAAGACTCCTGCTGACCAGGTCTACGAGTTCTGGAGCTGCAACTTCAAAGACATCCCAAAAGCCTGTTCTAAAATAATACATAGCATTGAGTTACTCCAAGGTTGCTGGGGAAAAGAAGGCAGCATCCATGTCATGACATATTCCCTTGGTATGCATTACGCAACATATTCATTTCATATTCCACTATACAAGCAACAAGTACTGGTCTTTATACTTTGTTGGTCTTAAACTTACAATATGACTCTTGTTTTAATGTCAAGCAGATGGGAAAACTGGAACATGTGAAGGATAGTTGAGGCAATGGATTGCAAGAAGAAATATATGAGTCTCAAAGTCATTGGTGGGAATCTTTTGGATCACTACAGGAGTATTAAGTTCATTCTTGAACAAGTTACCCCAAAAGGTGATGGGGCCAGCATGGCATGCTGGACTATGGAGTACGAGAAGCTGAATGAAAATGTTCCAGACCCAATTGCATTGCGTGATGCAGGCGTTAATACCAACAAAGCCATTGCTGCTTACCTCTCTCAGGCTTAAAAAACAGAGAAACCTTATGTGTAACATGCCAGCTATAAGCTAGCTAACCTTATTAAGTTATGGATGACTATGTAATGGTACTACAATAAAAGCTAGCAAGTTAGCTGGTCTATATAAATAAAAGCCTGAGTGTTGTAATGTGTCTGTGCTCTATCTGATTTATGTTATATGTGTGATCAACTAAAGTTTTTAGGTGGATCAATTCTCCATGTATGATGTCCATTCCAATAGCAGTGACGGTATGCATTGAAACTGGGCGTACTTGTATTCTTTTCACTTTACAGTGCGCATTATATTCCAGCTACACTGCTGTCATATGAAAACATGTACAATCCAGTTCCTACGTATTGCGCGCATCTCGACCTCTATCCAACGGTCACCATTCTCTCTTCCCATTAATTGATATGCACCAGAACTGTAGCCATGAAATTTGAACTTATTTAATCAAAGTTTGGAGAATACTGTTCTTAAAAGTACCAGAAAAAGCAACCTTTAATTGCACTTTCAATATTTTGTTTTTAAAGTACCCTTACAATGTGTGCTTCAAAATCAAAGTAGATTTGAATCCACAAGGCAGCCAGCGCTTACCTGACACTAACAGCCTCCACATAAGGAATGGGCAGGGTTTGAACCTCCAACCCGATTGTTCACCCACAAAGGAAAAGTGTGACTTTGCTACATTATGCCCACTTATAGATCTAGATAACTCTAAGTATAGATCATACAATATATTAGGCCTTTTTGATATAGCTGATAGCTTATAATTGATACTTGATAGCTGATGACTGATAATCGTTATTGTTTATAATTTGAAATATCTAACTTATTTGATTAAAACCAACAACTGATAGCTATTTCTAAAAGGTCAAAACACACACCCCCTACATCATCATAAGCAAAGACACAACATTATAACTTAAGACAAGATCATAAATAAATTACACATTTATGAAAGGTATCATAAAGCTGCAGCATTAGTCCCTGCATGACCGCTATCAATTTACTTGAGAATATTTTTTATCACTCCATTGCTTTGCTTTCTTCCGTGACCACTGAATCAGATTCTCCTAATGCAATTCAGAACATTGAGTTAGTCGAAGGTTGCTGGGGAAAAGCGGGCCGCATCGTTAAATGGACATACAACCTTGGTTTGTCATCCTTAGGATTGATCTATAATCTTCTTTCTGAAAAATTCCCGTTTCTGTTCATAACATCCATGAACAATGAGTTTGAACTTGTAAATAGATGTCTGAGGAATTGAATTACAGGAGAAAAAAAAAATTATTTATCAGTTTCAATGTAATTGTGGTGGAGATTGAAGAATGGCATACCTTGATATGCATCATGCAACATCATTTCACATTCCTCTATATATACAACAAGGATTAATAACAATATTATTCCTGTTTTAATGTCAAGCTGATGGGAAACCCAAAATCTCTAAAGAGATGGTTGATGCTGTGGATTACAAGAAGAAATCTATACGCTTCAAAGCCATTGTTGGGAATCTTTTGGAGTACTACAGGAGTTTCAAGTACATCCTTGATCAAGTTACTCCTAAAGGGGATAAGGGTAGCTTGGCTAGCTAAACTCTGGAGTATGAGAAGCTGAATGAGAATGTTCCAGACCCCATTTTGTTGCGTGATGAATCTGTTAATCTCATCTCAGGCTTAAAAAACCAAAAAACCTCATATGTGCCATACCGTTGCCAGCAAAGGTAGCTAAACTTTACTGTTGAATATGTCATGGTATTACAATAATAGCAAGCAAGTTAGCTGGCCTATGTAAATAAAAACCTAAGAGTTTAAATCTTATCTGTGCTTTACGTCTATCCATTTAGTGTTCACATTCCATATTCTGTTTGCAGTGTACTTCTACATGTGAGGTTCAATGGCCACTGGATTTGAGTCCACAAGGCATCTAGCACTTACCTAGCAGTCTCCACATTTTAACTGTGTAATAAAGCCCTTGGGACTCCATTCCAAATCATTAAAACGGAAAAGAAAGACAAATTACGATTAGATATTCCTTTTTAGCTTTTGCTTTTGGGACCCAATTCCATGTGAATAATATTTTTTTTATTTATAATTAGGGTATTTTCAGCTATCGTGAGCGCATCACTAATTATTTCTTAGACAATCTAAAAAGCATACTTATTACATTAGCCTATTGTATTTAAAAAAAATTAATTTTCTTCAGTATTAATCTCAAGAATCCAACCCTTGGATTCCATGTGCATAATAATTAGTAGTAAAGGGTGAACAATGGAGGCTAACCTACCATAATAAAGCCCACCTCCCCACTTTCCTTTTCAGCCTCTGTTTTCCACCCATCACCCATGCAAGGCCACTGTTTTTTTCCTATCTTCATGCAATTAACAGTTGAAGTTGTGGTGTCAAAGCTGCAACAGTTGGCAGCAAATGAAATGCAAATGAGAGTTGCACTTCTGACAGCAAGTGAGCAGAAAATTGAAGGAAGAAATGGCAGCAAACTTCTTCATTTTAGTCAATCTGTTAAGTAAAGTTATTGTATTAGGTAGAAGTTATTGCATTAGGTAGAAAATATTGTTTATATATTATGAGGTTTCTACTGTATAATGGCAGAGGATGAATGAACTTTCACCTCAATCAAAGAAGGAACTCCGGATGTCTCTCCTCCTCCAAGTCCTATCTCCACTTTTCTTAAAAATCCCAACAGTAACCCTTCGAGCAGTGCCTGTGCCTCACTTTTTCTGTTTCCTCAACTAACATCTTATTCAAAGACAATGTCTGAAGCGTCTCTTCAAGGGAAATTGAAGTATGATGTAGAGTACAAGGCTCCTGTTGATAAGATCCATGAATTCTGGAGCCGTGGCATTAGCGACCTTCCAAAAATCTCTCCTAACATAATTCAAAACATTCAGTTAGTCGAAGTTTCCTGGGGAAATGAAGGCTGCATCCATAAGTGGACATACAACCTTGTTATGCAACATCATTTCTTGGTAAATCCTTAGGATTGATCTATATTCTGCTTTGTTGGCAAGATCTATGAATTATGAGTTTGGACATGTAAATAGATGTCTGAGGAAGTGAATTACAAGAAAACAAAATATATATCAGTTTCAATGTAATTGGTGTAGAAAATAAAGTATGGCACACCCTTGGTAAGCATTATGCCACTTTATTTAATAGTCCTCTATATATACAACAAGGATTGCTTACAATATTGTTCCTGTTTTTATGTCAATCAGATGAGAAACCTGAAGCTGCTGAAGAGATAATTGATGCAGTGGATTACGAGCAGAAATCTATAAGCTTCAAAGTCATTGGAGGCATATTTTGGATTACTATAGGAGTTTCAAGTTCATTCTTGATCAAGTTACACCCAAAGGGAATGGGGGTAGCTTGGCAAGTTGGACTTTGGAGTATGAGAAGCTGAGTGAGAATGTTCCAGACCCCATCTCGTTGCGTGATGAATCTGTAAATCTCAACAAAGCCGTTTCTGCTTACCTCTCTCAGGCTTAAATGGAGATATACCTCATGTCCTGTGTGCCATGCCAGCTAATTAAGATAATTAATATTACTGATGAGATGAATATGTAGTACTAATAATAGAAAGCAAGTTAGCTGGCTTATTTAAATAAAAACCTGAGCAGTTTCAATGTTATCTGTGCTCTAAATCTATCTATTAAGTGCACTTAACCCTTAAATTTCAGCTAAACAGAACAGATGTAATCACAATTCAGACAATTTTTTAAAGTAAGTGCTGGCAATTGGAAACCTCAGGGAAATACACAACTAAGTCAGCATATGCTCAACTTTTAAAGGGCGACAATAGACCTGCTGGAGAGTTCAAAAGGATGTGGAAGGCCTCCATCCCACCTAAAGTAAGTGCTTTTTGCTGGCAATTAATTCATAAGAAACTCCCTACAAAGGATAATTTAGCAAATCGTGGAATCTTAAAGGACATTACAAAACTAGGATGTTGTTGGTGTAATACATTAGTGGAAACACCCGACCACTTGTTTGTTAATTGCAACTTGGCTTTTGATAAAGAATATTGAGGTTGAATCAATCTTTATTAGGTTATAATCAGGGTATATATACAAGATGTATAGAAGTATATTTACACTTTTAACCCTATACTATGTACACGTGTATTATGATATACATTATCATCCCCCCGCAATTTGAGCGGGAGAGCAAAGAACGCTCAAATTTGACCTTTGAGATCGGAAAAGAGCAGAAGATAGAGCCTTGGTGAGGACATCAGCAGGTTGGGCAAAAGAAGGAACATACTGAATGCAAATAATACCAAAAGCAACACGCTCTCTAACAAAGTGAATATCAATCTCAATATGCTTCGTCCATTGATGTTGAACTGGATTGAGAGACATGTAAATGGCATTGATATTATCACAATAAACCATAGGAGGAGAATGAAGGAAAACATGTAGCTTAGAAAGCAGTTGATGAACCTAAAGAACCTCAGCAACAACATTGGCTATAGCACGATATTCAGCTTCAGCACTTAACCGAGCGACAGTGTTTTGCTTCTTGGAAGACCAAGAAATCAAAGAATTACCAAGAAACAAACAATAACCAGAAATAGATCTTCTAGTATCAACACACCCAGCCCAATCAGCATCCGTAAACATATGTAGAGAAGAGAGGAATTATGAAATAATTGAAGACCATAATTCAGAGTACCTTTCAAATATCGTAATATCCGTTTGACAACAGTGAAGTGATTGTGAGTAGGGGCATGCATATACTGACAAACCTGGCCAACAGCAAAAGCAATATCTGGGCGGGTAAAGGTTAGATACTGTAGAGCACCCACAATACTACGATAGAATGCCGGATCAGAGTAAGCTGGACTATCAGTAGAAAACAATTTTGCCTTGGGTGCCATAGGTGTTACCACTGGCTTACAATCAAGCATGCCACTTTTTTCAAGGAGCTTATGAGTATACTTAGACTAAGAAAGAAATAATCCATCAGAATTGAAACTAACACTGATACCCAAAAAATAATTAAGCTGCCCCAAATCAGTCATCAAGAACTCACTTTTCAGCAAAGAAATAATGGCATGAAGCAGCAATTTAGTAGAAGCCGTGAGCACAATATCATCCACATATAGTAAAAGAATAGCCATAGCACCATTAGAATGATAAAGAAACATAGAACTGTCTAAGCGAGCTTGAGAAAAATCGTGAGTAAACAAAAAAGATGCAAATCTTTGAAACCAAGCATGAGGCGCTTGCTTCAAGCCATAAAGAGCACGATTCAACCGACAAACATAATCAAGATATTTTGGATCAATAAACCCAGGAGGCTGAGACATATATACAACCTCAAAAAGCCGCCCATGAAGAAAGGCATTCTTCACATCAAGTTGATGAATAGGCCAAGAATACATCACAGCTAATGCCAAAACAATTCAAATGGTAACAGGCTTGACCACAGGACTGAAAGTATCATCATAATCAACACCTTGTTGTT